GGAGGAGGAGGAGGAGGAGGAGGAGGAGGAGGAGGAGGGAGGAGGAGGAGGAGGAGGAGGAGGAGGAGGGGGAGGAGGAGGAGGTGATGGAGGGGCAGAGCATCGGCCCCCAGTCGCCCCGTCGTCGCCGCTCGAGGCCCCGGGCCCCCCAGCCCGCCCCGGAAGCCGTGGGCTGCCGAGCCCGCCCGCCCCCACCCAGCGATCGAGCGCCCCTCGTCGGGCATGCCCCTCTACAGGAGGAGCGTTCAGCCTCGCTGCTGCGATTCTTTTCGGCGATGCTTCGATCGTTTTCTGCGACGCTGCTGCGATCGGTTTCAGCCCCTCTCTGCGACGATGCTTCGATTATGTTCTGCCATTTGGAACACTGTTTTTGACCATGTTGTAAAAGAATGAGGAAATCCTCAAGGTCCGCCTGTACAGTCGGGGCCCTGAAGGAGGAACCCTTTTCGTTGGGGAGGGGCTCCGCGTTCCTTAAATGTTTCACGGCTTGCCTCAGGTTTCCTTTAGGTTTTCGATGGGGAATCGAAGTCTAACTTATGGAAAAAAGGGGCCTCGTTCCTTATTTTGGGTTCCTTAGGTCAAGGCTAAGGCCCCGACTGTAGGAGGACATGCCCGACCTGAGCCTACCGCCGATCTGCCGCGGATCGCGGGCCTCAGCGTTCCCACCCCGAGCCAGTCCCCCCCTTGTGCCACTCATACAGTCGGGGCCCCGAAGAAGGAACCCTTTTTGTGGGGGAGGGGCTCCGCGTTCCTTAAGCGTTTCGCAGCTTGCCTCAGGTTTCCCTTAGGTCTTCGATGGGGAATCGAAGTTAAACTTATGGAAAAGAGGGGCCTCGTTCCTTATTTTGGGCTCCTTAGGTCAAGACCCCGACTGTAGCCTCGGCACCCAGGCACCCGCCCAGATCTTGCTTTGTCAGTCCCCGGCCCCACGGAGGTCTCGACCGCCTCGCTGGAGGCAGTTTTTTTTAGGCCCGGGCCCGCCTCCGGTGCCCCCGGGGCCCGATCTCTGGCAGCAGCGGTCGAGCTCGAGCAACGACGCCCAGGTGGATCTGTCGGCGGCGACACGCGAACCCTGCCCTCGCCGATCCTCCGGTCGGGGAACTTGATGGGCGGCGAGGGGTCGTTCGGCATCCAGCATCGATTTGGCGTCGACCAGCGTCGATTTGGCGTCGCGCAGCGTCGATTCGCAAGGGCCAGCAGGGCGACATGGGAGGCTCCCGCGACCATGAGATCCCACGAAGCGAAAAGATGCGACATTGTACAAAAGCACGCCCCGAGCCCCAGACCCCATCTTTCTGCGCCCATTGTTTCGAGCCAGATCGAGCTGTGAGGGACCCTGGGCCCGACCTTGAGCGACAACGTTCGTGGGGAAACGACTTGCCGCGCCAAGGATCTCCGGGGGGAGTGGCCGCCGAGCTCTCGTCGGAGGCCTGAGGCCTGCCCGACGGGGCCCGTGCGCGCCCCGCGCCGCCCGGAGACGCCCGCTGGCGAGATGGCGCTCCGCGGGCTCCTCGCCGCGCTCTTCTTCGGCGGGGCGCCGGGCGCCGCGGCGCTGCCGAGGCTGGGCGGGCGGGAGGGGCGTGCGCGTGGGGCCCCGCCCCTGCCGGCCGCGCGTGCTCGGGCTTCTCGAGGAGCTCGGGGGCGGAAAAGAGGAGGGGTGATGGCTACAGGGGGGGCGGAGATCATGGCGGGGGCCATGGTACTTCCCCAGATTTCATGGCGCCTCTTCTCGTTTCATGACGTCCCTGGCCCCCCCGCTGGGCCGCGCACATGCCGCCGGTCATGATTTGCACCCCCCCCCCCCTTGGACACCCCCCTCTTGGCCGCTCCCGAGAAGCGTGGCGGCGCGCAGAGGGGGGCAGGGGGAGGGGGGAAGGCTTCTTAGAAGCCCCCCAGCATCTTAGAAGGCGCGGGCCATTTCTATAGACGTGAGGCCGAGGCCTTCCTAAGAAGCAGGGGTGCTTCTGAGAAGCCTTCCCCCCTCCCCCTGCCCCCTTTTGCGCGCCGTCAAGAAGCGTGGGGGGGTGCCTCCCCGATGGGGGTCAACCTCGCCTCGTCGTCGCGCCGCGACGGGTGTCGGAGCGCCTTGGGCGCGCGGTGGCTGCCCGCGACGGGGGTCGATGTGGGGCCGTCGGCGGGGGTGACGCCCCCCCCCCCCGACGCTTATTGGGAAACTCGGAGTAAGAACTATTCGGCTCAAAGGTGAAAAAGCGCCATAGGAGTTAAACTTTTGGCGCTCCGCGCGGATTTCTTGGATCCGCGCTGGGGCCTCCCCGGCGGCGCCGCCCCCGGCGCGCTCCGCGCGCCAGGGAGGGGGGCCCAGCGCGAATCCACAGCGCGGATCCCAGAAGTCCACGCGGACCGTCGACAGTTGTTGTTTCTTGCATCTTTCTTCTTGTAGAAGTGAGAAGGAGTAGGCCTTCTCAGAAGGCTGAGTGTGATGCGACAGCGGCGGCTCTCGCGCTCGTGTTTGCTCCCCCCCCCCCCGCGCTTCCCGAAGGCCGCGCACCACGGACACCACTCTTGCCTTATGGTCACTCGTGCGTGAGGCCGATCCTTCCGGGGGCGAGGGGCAGCGTGAGGGGGGAACGGAGGAGGAGGAGGAGGAGGAGGAGGAGGAGGAGGAGGAGGAGGAGACAGGCTCAGGATGGGGATGTGCTTCGAACGTTTCCTTCGATGCCCGAGGCGGGTCCATCGGCCGCGCCTCGCCGAGGGCGTTCCTGGGGGGGCACGGGTCGCCTCGAGCGGCCGCTGGCGAGCCGAGGAATATTCGGAGGTGGATCGACCTCCTACCCTGACACGTCGATTAAGGAATCGGCCGTTTTCGGCTCGCGAGAGGGCGTCGCGGCCGTCATTTTTGCGGGTCCAGTTCCGTCGGTTTCGGTCCCAGGCTGTTTTCATGAATTGGAGGTTTACTAAAGGGAGGGTTGTCCACCGCCGAAATATGACCCGAAGGCCGCGATCCCGGCCAGGCCCACCCCGGGCCCAGGAGCTGTGCATGGTGGGCTTGTCTTCCACCACCACCATTCGTTGGAGGGGAAGGGGTCCTCCTCCTCCTCGACCTCCTCCTCTTCCTCTTCGTCCCTGAAGAAGGAACCCTTTTCGTTGGGGAGGGGCTCCGTGTTCCTTGATTGCTTCACAGTTTGCCTTCGGTTTTCCTCTCCGGTTTTCCTCTCCGGTTTTGGATGAGACGTCGAAGTGCAACTTGTGGATAGAAGGGGCCTCGTTCCTTATTTAGGGTTCCTTGGGTCAGCGCTCCGACTGTACGACCCGAAGGCCGCGATCCCGGCCAGGCCCATCCCAGGCCCAGGAGCTGTGCATGGTGGGCTTGTTTTCCACCACCACCATAAGTTGGAGGGGAAGGGGTCCTCCTCCTCCTCGACCTCCTCCTCTTCCTCCTTCGTCCTCTTCCTCCTTCGTCGTCTTCCTCCTCGTCCTCCTCCTCCTCCCTCCCCCCTCCAACTTATGGTAGTGGTGGTGGAAACCATGCCCCTCAGTGCGTATCCGTCCTGGCAGAGTCAGGATTAGGGGAACAAGCAATGACATGAACATAACAACTCGGAGGTTCGCGCGGATTTCTCGGATCCGCGCTGGACCCCTCGCGCGCTCCGCGCGCCATGGGGGTGGGTTCAAGGCCGATCAGAAGTCCGCGCGGACCTCCGAGTTTGTGTGTTTATGTTATGGCGTGTGTCCCGAAGGATGGCGTGCCCTGAGATCCGACGTTGCGAACAGCATGCAACATCGCGAACAACCGCGACCAGGGCTCTGGACCTTCTCTTGCCGCGGCAGGCTTCGAGGCGGATCGGGCTCTGAGGGCCCCGGTGGGCCAGATGCCAGGCGGTGGCGCCCACCGTTGTGACAAAAGATGGCAGCGCCCAGATTTCTGGGGTATTTTGCGGGCTCGGGTGGGGCTAGGACGAGGTCAACTCCGGTCCAGAGCGTCCCAGAACGCTCCCAGAGCGTCCCAGAACGCTCTGGGAAGGCCGCGGCGTCCGAGATTTGCTCCAGAGCTACGGGAGATCTCACAGATTCGCGAGCTCTCTTCCTTCCCGATGCTGTCCTCGTCCTGGCCTCGTCTTGTGGATCTCGGGGGGGAGCGCTGCACGTGCGGACGTCTCTCCTTCCCCTGCGAGGCCCCGCCCGCAGGAGCCGCGGCGCCTGGCCGCGCGGGCGGCGGAGGAGAGGGTGAGAGACAAATCGGCACAGGAACATATGGGCCTCCTCCTCCTCCTTCTTCCTTCCTCCTCCTCCTTCCTCCTCCTCCTTCCTCCTCCTTCCTCCTCCTCCTTCCTCCTCCTCCTTCCTCCTCCTCCTTCCTCCTCCTCCTTTCTCCTCCTCCTCCGACTCCTCCTTCCTCCTCCTCCGCCTCCTTCCTCCTCCTCCTCCCCCTCCTCCCCCCCCTGCGTATCCGTTTTGGCTCAGGATGCGAGACTCCTAGGTGAGTCAAGTGGATACCGCTGGTCCGCGGCAAGTTTTCGTTTTCCTGCAGCAGCCTCAGGCGCGAGCTGCCGCCCATCTCCATGTCGTCTCGGCCCCACCGCGGGCAGTCGGATGGCGGATGGCGGGCCGCGCGCCAAGGGGGCCGTGCGCCAGGACTCGACCTGCAAGCCTTGCGTCGGCAAGCGCGGGCGGGCGGTGGCCACCTGGGGGACGGCACTCGAGCGCCAGGCGTGCAGGCTGCCCAGGCACGCGTGCTTCGGGGCGAGTGCGCCGCTGCCCCAGCATGGCAAGGCGGCCTTGCAGCCCGCGGCGGCGAGCGGCAGGGCCCCGCCGCGGGCGGCAGGCGGCGGCCCGCTCGCGGTGCAGCTGGCGCAGGGGCAACGTGAGATCCAGGAGCTCAATAAGCAGATCAGGGGCGCCAGTGGCATTGGCGGCGGGGGCCCTCAGCTCGCGGGGGGGGGCCCAGGACATGGTGGTCGACGACGGCGCCGCCGCCGGCGAGGACGATGCGGCCTTGGCCGCCGAGGTCAAGGAGTGCGAGTCGGGCCTCCAGGCGCTCAAGGACGTGGCAGTGGGCTGGGCCAAGGCGCCGCGCGACGAGCTGCGGGCCGTGTTCGAGAAGGCGAAGGCCAACCTGTTCGCCAACAAACCGTTCCACTCCAGGACGCAGGCCATCGCCAACAAGGCTAAGCAGTGCGCCGAACGGCTGGGCAAGGCGGAAGGTGCGATGCGCAAGGAGGCGATCCAGCGGGCGCAGGGGGAGGTGCAGCGCACGGAGCAGGCCCACGCCGAGCTCCTGGCGCAGCAGGAGGCGCTGCAGGCGGAGGTAGCCACGCTCCAGCAGCACGCACCGCAGGTGCCGCCTCCCCGCGCTGCTGGCCAGGCCATGGCGTCGGACGTCATCGGAGGGCTTGGCATCAGGGATGGGGAACTAGCCATCGTGCGCGTGAAGTTGGCAGGGCACCCCGGCCACGAGCAGCCTGTCCCAACAGAGGCGCAGAAGCGGATGGCGGGAGTGCTGGGCAAGCGGCTCGCCGAGCTCTGCGTCACCAAGCGAGCACGGCGCACGGAGCCCGCAGCTGAGATGGCCGCGGGCGAAGACTCGGGTGCGGCGGACACGCAGAGACGAAAAACGGAACGATTTGTTTTGAGGTGGTTTTTGTGCGCAGCATTGTTGCCCGCTCCTTGTTTGGCCGCCTCCTCCTGGACTCGCCGCGGGCGGGCGCGGCTTTGTTTTCGTTCCGTTTTGGCGCTTTTTGGTGCGCCTTTTCGGTCGACAATCGCCGGCGTTGCTTTTGGGTCGCCTGCCATGCCCAGAGCGCGCGGCCCGCGGCGAGGAAGGCGCATCGACAAACGCCCGGGCGCAGTTTTCCGCGCGATTGCTATGCATTTCGGCGTTCGCTGCAGAGTGCCGGCGCGTCTTGCGCGCGGGGCGCGCAGTCCTGAAGCTCAGAGCCTGCTTGGGCGGCAAGAGGAAAGGGCCAGTGGGGGAGGGGGTGATTGGCGTAAAGTAGGCATAGGGCGGGGGGGTGGATGAAGGGGGCGCAGGAGCAGGATAGACAGTAGAGGACGCGCAGACGATGCAGGGGCGAAGTTGCTACTCCATGATCTGGCGTATTTTTTAGAAATGCCAAAGGAAATCGCCGTGCTGGTCCTTCTCTTTCCGCCTCCTCCTCGCCACTTCCTGTACTGTCACCATGTTTTTGTTTGCGCGCGTTTGGAGTTGGCCCCCCAGTCGTGCGCGCAAGACGACGCGCGCCATCGTTGCGTCGGTCGTGCGCGCCCCCTTCCGCAAGAGCCATGGCAGGGGACAGAGAGGAGGCTGCATTCACCATGTGCTGCCAGAATCCCACGAATCGTCGAAATTGTTGTGTCCAACATTACCTGCGCCCTCGAGTTGAAGCGTCTATTCTCTGGACGTTGGGGCGACGAAAATTGGAGCGGCGATTTTTTGTTCGTCGTCCTGGCGGGGCGTCGTGCAGCGACGAAAATTGAATCGACGAATTGTTCTTTCGTCGCCGCGGCGGGTTGCCCAGTCGAAACAATCCGCTCCTCCGGGGCATGGGGCGAACATCGCGACGACCTGTTTTGTCTAGTAAGTTGCTCCCGCTCGAGCGGGGGCTTGAATATCTTGCACCTTGGATTGTCGCAACAATTTTCGTCTGTAGCGCGCGGCGGTGGGCGTCTCCAGGCCAAGAGAAGAGCCGCGCCGCTGGGGCGCGTGAAAGGGGAGTGGTGGATCAACGCAGGAGCAGGTTTGGTGTAGGGGGTGAGGAAGAGTTGGAGGGGCGACAGCATGTGCGTCCTGATCGCGGCTTGGATCTGCTAGCGAAGGCTTTGGACAGTCTCCGAAAGACCATTGCGAGTGGTCGGTGCAAGCTGTCGGACGCAGTAGGGGCAGGGGGCCGCCGCGGCCCGTCCTTGGGCCTTCTCGCAAGGCTGCTCGGGTCATCGCTAGGCCTTCATCGTCTCGGGCGTTTTGGGCGGCCTTTAAATTGGATCAGCAGGTTATCGCATGGCGTTCGGCCAGGCCGAGGGTTGCCAAATTGTCGCTGGGCCCATTCCGGTGCCTAGGCGCTCGTAGAAGGCATTTGTCAGCCGTTTGGGGGCCCGAAGTGGTCACCGAGAAAGCGAGGCGCGTTTTCGCCTCCGACGCCGCCTAACGGACTTGGTCATGCGCCAGTCGAGTCCGCATTCGAGTTCGTTGCGGCCCAACGATGGCTTTGGCGTGGCCCTCCACGCCCTGTTTGACCGGCCCAGGGCCTTTCTGGGAGCTCTGTTCTGTCTTTGGAGGATCCGCGTGCCTGCCGATATTGGCATGCCGCTGCCGGGGAAACGCGCGGGCTTCTTTCTGACAAGTGACGTTGCAATTTGCCGGGTGGAGATTTGTTCCGAGGTGGGCGGCGGCCTAGCCGTTTGACGGCAGTTCAGGTTCAGGCATCAGTGGTTGCACGCGCGCAGGCGCGCGCATGTGCGCCGCGCGTTTTGCCGCGTGCCCGGTTTCGTGCATGTCCGCTTCTTGGGCTTATGTCGTGAATGTTGTCGCTCGTTGTTGTTGAGAGATTTATCCTCGTGTATATTTTTTTCGTCGGAACCCTCCGCGGCGGCCGCCGCCCCGACGAGGAGCGCGCGGCCGGGGGCGGCGGCGCAGGTGGCGGCCTGTCGCAGGCAGACGCCGCCGCCCAGCAGTCAGTCGCCGCGGCTGCAGGCGCGGAGGAGGTCAAGCAGTGGCAGCCCTGCCGGGGGCCCCTGGGGCAGCTCCAGCAGCGCCTGCAGGCGGTCGGTCGGGCTGGAGCATGAGGGCGCCGAGGAGGCCGTGCGAGGCCGCTGCGCCGCATTGGCGCGCGGCGGCTCCCAAGCCTCATCGGGGTGCTGCCGGTCCTCAGCGCGTGGTTCCCGACCGTGGCGAAGGGCGGCATTGTCGCGATGAGCGATGAATGTCACGGCGGGTGGTTCCTTGGCGCCGTGCGTCGAGGGGCTGTGCCGGCAGTCCGACGCGGCGGCGCTGCTGGCGCAGGAGCACCGCGCTGAGGGCCGCGATGGGCTGGCCACCCTGCAGCGCGCAATGCTGGGCCACGGCCACGCGGGCGCGTGGGCTGCGGTCGCCGAGGGCGCCCGTGGGGGCGACGGCGCCTTCTGGCGGGGTGGCGGCTTTGGCGCGGACCACCGTCGTCGTCGCCAGCCCTCCCTTCCTGGGTAGCCCAGTGCTGGCTGAGGCGCGCCTTGTGGTGGCTCGCATGCACTGGGGAGTGGCTTGGGGCTTGGTTGCGGCATCTGCGTGCCTGCGCGACAGTTTCGGATGGGGCGAGGAGAACCAGCGGCTCGGGATGATCCTTGTACGCTACCTGGCCAGGCTCAACGCTGCTGGGCTGGACTGGGTCGTGGGCGGCGACTTAATCGGCGGAAGCGTTCCCAATGCAGCTGGCGCGCGGTGTGCGAGGGCTGCGGCTCGCGCCCAGCGCGGCTGCCTGTTGGCCGCGGGTTGGAGCGTGGTCCACCATCGGCTACTTCCTGTGCGCGGCCGGCCTGGCGCCGCGTCTGGGCAAGCCGCAGGTGTTCGAGGAGGGCACCGCTGCACCGCATCTCCTTGTGGGGGTCGCGGTGCTGGCCCAGGAACTCCCCATGGAGGTCCGCGTGGTCCGAGGGCCGAGGCCCATCGCACCTGTCCCGCCCATTGGTTGCAGCCGCGGGGTGGAGGACTGGCGGCGGCAGCTGGCCAAGGTGCGGGCGGTCGAGGGCGCCGCGCAGTTGCCCGTTTCCTGGGGCGCGGTGGCGGGCACCATTGAAACGCGCTGCTGGGCAGCTACGACCGCTCGGGGGCGGGCAGGGCCAAGTGCGTCGGCAGGTGACGGCCCTCGTTGCTGTCGCGCGGGGGCTCCCTCGTCGCCGTACCCAGCTTGGTCGGCGCGCGCTGGCGCGCCGCGCTGCGTCGAGGTGGGCTCGCCGCGCGATGGGGGTCGGGGCGTATGTCGCCGATGCGCTGCGTCGACTTAACGGTGCCGGCCCGCCGCGCGCGCTCGACGACGGGCAACGCGACGAGTTGGCGGAGTTCCTGCTGGGGCTGGCGCCTGCATGAGGGGGGTCGTTGTGCAGCGCCGCGGCGCGCTCTCTCTGCTGCCGCGCTGGGTGCCAGACTTCTTCGAGCAACCGCTGCTCGTCCTCAAGTCGGAGGGCTTCGCGGGGCAGGTGGCTGCCCGCGCGGTGGAGTGCGCCAGCGGCCAGTGCGAGGAGGCGCTCCA